TGAAGGAGTTCATCACCGACCTAGGAGTCATACCCAATGCGTCAGGGCTGATCACTCTCTTCTGTGACAACACTGGAGCTATTGCCCTTGCCAAGGAGCCCAGGTTTCACAAGAAGACCAGGCACATCAAGCGTCGCTTCAACTCCATTCGTGAAAATGTTCAAGATGGATACATAGATATTTGCAAAGTGCATACGAATCTGAATGTCGCAGATCTGTTGACTAAACCTCTTCCGCGAGCAAAACATGATCAACACCAGAACTCTATGGGTGTTCGATTCATCACAATGTAACTAGATTATTGACTCTAGTGCAAGTGGGAAACTGTTGGAAATATGCCCTAGAGGCAATAATAAAATGATTATTATTATATTTCCTTGTTCATGATAATTGTCTATTATTCATGCTATAATTGTGTTATCCGGAAATCATAAGACATGTGTGAATACATAGACCATAACATGTCCCTAGTGAGCCTCTGGTTAACTAGCTCGTTGATCAACATATAGTCATGGTTTCCTGACTATGGACATTGGATGTCATTGATAACGGGATCACATCATTAGGAGAATGATGTGATGGACAAGACCCAATCCTAAGCATAGCACAAGATCGTGTAGTTCGTTTGCTAGAGCTTTTCCAATGTCAAGTATCATTTCCTTAGACCATGAGATCGTGTAACTCCCGGATGCCGTAGGAGTGCTTTGGGTGTACCGAACGTCACAACGTAACTGGGTGACTATAAAGGTATACTACAGGTATCCCCGAAAGTATCTGTTGAGTTGACACGGATCGAGACTAGGATTTGTCACTCCGTATGACGGAGAGGTATCTCTGGGCCCACTCGGTAATGCATCATCATAATGAGCTCAATGTGACAAAGTGTTTGGTCACGGGATCATGCATTACGGTACGAGTAAAGTGACTTGTCAGTAACGAGATTGAACAAGGTATTGGGATACCGACGATCGAATCTCGGGCAAGTAACGTACCGATTGACAAAGGGAATTGTATACGGGATTACTTGAATCCTCGACATCGTGGTTCATCCGATGAGATCATCGAGGAGCATGTGGGAGCCAACATGGGTATCCAGATCCCGCTGTTGGTTATTGACCGGAGAGTCGTCTCGGTCATGTCTGCGTGTCTCCCGAACCCGTAGGGTCTACACACTTAAGGTTCAGTGACGCTAGGGTTGTAGAGATATTAGTATGCGGTAACCCAAAAGTTTTTCGGAGTCCCGGATGAGATCCCGGACGTCACGAGGAGTTCCGGAATGATCCGGAGGTGAAGAATTGTATATAGGAAGTCCAGTTTCGGCCACCGGGAAAGTTTCGGGGGTCACCGGTATTGTACCGGGACCACCGGAAGGGTCCCGGGGGTCCACCGGGTGGGGCCACCTATCCCAGAGGGCCCCATGGGCTCAAGTGGGAAGGGAACCAGCCCCTGGTGGGCTGGTGCGCCCCCCTTGGGCCTCCCCCTGCGCCTAGGGTTGGAAACCCTAGGGGTGGGGGCGCCCCACTTGGCTTGGGGGGCAAGTCCCCCCTTGGCCGCCGCCCCCCCTCTTGAGATTCAATCTCTAGGGGGCCGGCGCCCCCCAGGGCCCCTATATAAAGAAGGGGGAGGGAGGGCTGCGCACCCCTGCTCCTGGCGCCTCCCTCTCCATCCGCAACACCTCTCCCTCTCGCTGAGCTTGGCGAAGCCCTGCCGAGATCGCCGCTACTTCCACCACCACGTCGTCGTGCTGCTGGATCTCCATCAACCTCTCCCTTCCCCTTGCTGGATCAAGAAGGAGGAGACGTCTTCCCCAACCGTACGTGTGTTGAACGTGGAGGTGCCGTCCGTTCGGCACTAGGATCTTCGGTGATTTGGATCACGACGAGTACGACTCCCTCAACCGCGTTCTCTTGAACGCTTCTGCTCGCGATCTACAAGGATATGTAGATGCACTCCCCTCTCTCATTGCTAGATGACTCCATAGATTGATATTGGTGAAGCGTAGAAAATTTTTATTTTCTGCAACGTTCCCCAACAGAGTCCTCATCCTTCTCGCGCGACTGATGGTGACGGGGCCCCCATCATCTCTCGTTGCGGGATCTACGACGGAGATGGGCGGCGGGCCTGGATTTCTCCGGCGACCACGACTGACGTTGTGGCCGCGAGGGCGGCACGACGTCTCGTTCGAGGGGCTCGATGCGGCTTAGCTTCTCATCTCCGTGTGGTGCGGGTGGTGGCGGTGGTGCCCGCTGAGCTCTCTGGCCTGCTATTGGGAGTCGGCGGTAGTTCGGTCCTTTGGTTCTTTTTGCTTTAAGATGGTCTTCTTCCGGTCGTCGGCCCTCGTAGATCTGGCCATTGACAAGTTTCGGAATGCTCCGCTGAAGATCTTCATTGGGTGCTTGGCGCGTGTAGATTTCTGGATCAGATGGGATTAGGTCGTGTGCACTCTGATTTCAGCCCGAGTGGCTTGAGGAGGGTGTGACGCGAAGCTTCATTGCCTGTTTACAGCATGGGGCACATAGGTATTTCGATTTCCATGGTGAAGGCAGTGATAGAGAATGTCATGGTGGCTGAGGTCTGAGACCTGGTAATGGCGGATCGAGTCTTCGTGGCGATGAGGACTTTGCTTGGTGATTTGTGACTTGTGGCAGTGGCATCGGCAAGTGGGGGCGGCAATACAGGCGGAGTACAGAGTCTTAACTTTCATGGTGAAAGCCCAAGGTCTGGCCTTAATTGGTTGTGCCTGGCAGTGACCTTGTTGAAGGCATTGTTTTGAGAGCGCAAATCTTGTCCAGGGTGAAAACTTAAGATCTAGGATCAGGCGATGATGGTGTTTCTGCACTAGTTCCTTCTTGCAGGCATCACTTTTGAAGAATTGGGACTTCGGATATTGTCTAGGTGCTGGTTCGTGCTGCAGCTACAAGAAATTGATCATTGTTGCGGGATCTTTCTTTTTTTCTTCTTGTTATTGTCTTTGGCTGCGTACATCCGAAATGTCTTTACGACATTGCGTTGTTGCATAGGCTGGGTGTAATTGGTATCTCAACGATATAAATATATTACCTTTGTCGAAATATATATGCCCATGAGGTTTAAGCAATATATTAATAATTCCATCAACCCATGCCTGTTCCTCTTGCAGGTATGTAAGTCCAAGTGGGAGTAGAATGTACCTGACCGGGTAAATTTGTCCAGGTACTGACGTCCAGGATTTGAAAAACAAAAGCATCTGAATTTTCTCACTTTGTCTTCGCTGGTCATTTGCATCACCTAAGATAATACACGCCATGATGACGATGGACCTGCCCATCAAAATGATAGAAGCCGCCAACAAAATATGTAGAGGTATCCTGTGGAAGGGTCGCCAGGACGTGCATGGAGGGCATTGTTTGGTGGCCTGGGACAAAGTCTGCTCGCCGAAGGAGTATGGTGGTTTGGGAGTGCCCAACCTGCGCCTACTTAATATGTCGCTGAGAGCGAGATGTTCGTGGCTGGCGCGGATGGATCCGGCCAGACCATGGGCAAAATTCTACATTCAAGTCTCATCGGACTTACTAGCCATCTACAGAGCAGCCACAAAGTGCACCATTGGGGACAGATCCACGGTCCTATTCTGGACGGATTGGTGGCTTCACGAGAGCCGCATACACGATATCTTGCCAAACCTACTTGGTGTCGTCAAGAGGAGTGCAACAAAAGTCAGGACAGTGAGACAAGCTATGTCAGGGCAATGGTGGCGTGATGTGTCGCCCAACATGGACGCCCAGGCCATACAAGAGTTCCTACAATTGGTCGACCGACTACGGAGTGTCGAACTAGCGGACGGGATTGACGACAAAATTGTCTGGACTTGGGAAGGAGATGGCTTGTTCTCTGCTCGGTCAGCCTATCGAGCTCATTTTGCTGCACGTATCGAGTCGGCGGGAGCAACGGAGATTTGGAAATCCATAGCACCGGCACCATGCAAGTTCTTTTCCTGGCTGACGACACATAAAAGATGTTAGACGGCGGACAGATTACAACGACGGTTATTGCCTCATCCGGTGGCATGCCCGTTCTGCGATCAGGAGCCCAAAATGATCGATCACCTGCTCCTTGAATGTGTTCTCGCTCGACAAGTATGGTCCGTCATCATGGGTAACCGGGGAAAGCCTCACTGGACTTCGGAGCCGGAGGCTGAGGTCGTAGGAGGGTGGACTCCTTTTAACATCCAGAAGAACAAGAGGAATGAAACATGGACAGTGATCGCTCTAGTGGCTTGGACATTGTGGAAACACAGGAATAACATCGTGTTCAACGGAGCTTCTCCATCCATGAACACGGTCGTCAGCCAGATCGAAGTGTAGGGACATAACTGGAGGGCTGCGACCCTGCTGCGGGAGGCAAGATTGCTCCCAACTAGGTTAGATCGGTTGAGGGGCAGCGAGTAGTTAGCATGCGGTCTCGGGCTCGTGCAGCTGTGGGTTGTGTTGTAACTTTGTAAAAACCCGTCATCTTGGCATCTTCTATCTTTGATCTCGATACATCTGCTTGACGTATCCTTGAAAAAGGCTTTTTGGCCTTTTGGTTGTATTTTGTTTTATTATTTCGGATTTATGTATCCGTTTATTAACGAAATCACAGACTATGGAGGATGCAAGCTACTCCGTGGGGAAAACATACAGCATGGCAGTACGTACGTCATTATCGACGCTATGACCACGTACGCAACGGGCGCGACGTTAATCAGAGTTTGACCACACTTCTTTATACCCACTACACAAGACTCATAATTAGCACCGCCGGGTGATGATCGTCTTCTTTTTTTCAACAACCTTTTTATATAATCTGCAGGCCACGACTGCAAGACGTCAGATTAACAATCCTCAAGGCTCCAGCCTCCCCTACAAATACCGGAGCCTGTCCGGCTTGTTTCTTCACCAGCTACCTATACTGCAAGACAAAGCAAAGCAATTTAGGAAACAACCAGTTTTACTGTGGAATTGTCTAGCTGCCGATCGGCAATGGCGACCAAGATCTACATCGTGTAATGCTCCGCCTATACTCTGCTCACTCTTGTTCCGGCTAGTTAGCTCAGTGATTTGATTATTACTCCATTTTTTTTTGTTCATCTGCATCGATTCAGGTACTATTCGACATGGGGACACGTCGCGACGCTTGCGGAGGAGATTAAGAAGGGCGCCGACTCCGTCCCTGGCGTCGAGGTCACCATCTGGCGGGTGCCCGAGACGCTGCCAGAGGATGTGCTGGGGAAGATGCACGCGGCGCCTGGGCGTGAGGATCATCCCGTCATCACAGCGAGAGTATTTGACCAAAAACTATCACAATTCACGGAACCGTGACGAAAAACTATCACTTTACGATTTTGTCCCGAAAACTACCACTTTTTTGCTAATCTCTGACTAAAAACTACCATGTGTGTAAATCAACAGATTCATCCATTTTAAACACGTTTATGATAGACCTGGCCCGCATGTAAGTGTTGCTCG